ATTCCTCATTAGAACAATAATAAAAGACGTGACTTTTATGAAGTGCATGGTTATGTTGTACACGCGGTCAGTTATTGTTTTCACTACACACATGTAAATGATATGTATATACACAAAATATACGTAAAATTATGATTTTTTTTCCAGATGTCGTACAATCTGCGGACAAAAGCTCGAAGAGAGGAGTTGCTCGAGCAAGAGAGTAATCCTGAGTCGGAGTATGAGGAACAGTCTGGCTCCGAATCCGAGCAGAACGAATCTGATACAGATGATGTTTCTTATTGCGATGACGAAATTAGCGAGGAGGACATGGAAGACGAGGTGCAGAATGCACGAGCTAAACAGGCTCGAATGTCTCTATCAGATGAAAATAATTCTTCTCGAGCTCCACAACGTGGTCGTCCTGTCACGAAATTGTATGGGAAAAATGGATTTGTCTGGAAAACTCAGTTTGCTGAACGTAGGTCCGACCGTATGAGTGATGTCCAAGCGGAGTTTGGAGCAGAATTAGTTGGAGAAACTCTGAATCTGCAAAAAATAGAAAACTTTTGGGATCTTCTATTCACCAACGAAATGATTGATCTGATCGTCGAACGGACCAATTTAAAAATTGAACGGGAGTGCGCTGAAATGGTAGCTGAAGATAAATTTGAATCCTATCATCACCATACCGACGCTGTTGAAATGAGGGCATTTATCGGCGTTCTTTACTATGCTGGTCTTTGGAAAGCTGCCCACGTCGACGTGAATGAACTTTGGGAACGGAGGAATGGACTTGATTTTTATAGGTGCGTTTTTACTCACCACAGATTCACATTCCTTCAATTTTGTCTACGTTTCGATGTTCTGAAAGAACGGGATCCTGAGGACAGATTTTCGCCTATTAGAGAAATTTGGGACATTTTTATAGAAAATTGTGGAAAATACTACAGACCTAGCAGTAAATGTACTGTTGACGAACAGCTACTCAGTTTCCGAGGTAGATGTATATTTCGTATGTATATGAAAGCAAAGCCGGACAAATATGGTTTGAAAATTTTGACTCTAAATGATGCAAGTACTGCCTACCTTGTCTTCGCTATACTCTACCTTGGACAAAATGCAAAGATATCAAACCCGCAAAAACTGCCGATTTCAGAATACTTCTTTCAAGAAGTCACCGCTCCCATACATGGCACCGATCGCACAGTCACATGCGACAATTGTACATGCGACATGTACAATTGGTTTTCTTCCATTCCTCTCTTGCAACGTATGTTGGCTCCACCGTTCAAGCTTTCGATTACGGGAACCATAAAAAAGAACAAACAAGAAGTGCCTCTTGAGTTAAAAATCGCCTCGCCAAATCCTCCAGCGACAAAATTTTGCGAAGGATATTACCTTACTTTCTTACACTCCCAAAAAAAAGAAAATTGTGTTAGTCGCTTCAACGTACATGAACACCAGGGAAATCGCAAATGACAAGTCGAAAATCATCTTGCACTACAACGATACGAAAGGTGGGACCGACACATTTGATCAACTTTGTCATGCCTACACAGTGGCTCGGAGGACGAATAAATGGCCCATGCGCATTTTTTACGGCATACTTGACCAAGCGGCAGTAAATTCCCGAATTATGTGGAAACTTAGCTGGGTCCGAACAGCAGATCTGAGGCGACGGCGATTATTGCCATGAAAAAACTCGTTTTTCACTTGACTGTCCCATTTCTCAAACGGAGACTTGAAATAAATACGCTTCGCAAGGATCTGAGGCTTTGCATCCAGGGAATACTGAAAGTAATCTCAGATCCGGAGGTCTCCGGGGATCTAGAAAAGGTGACCTATCCTGAGGGACGTCGATGCATCCAATGCAACAGACGGCAAGACAAGAAAACAAGATTTGGTTGCTCGTCGTGCAGGAGACCGGTTTGTGACACACTCACCATTACGTCATTTGTGATAAATGCGGCGGTCAGTGACAAAAAATGTGCTAATAAATAATGTGCTATAATAATTATTTTCTTGTTTATCTATGTTCAAACAAATATTTAAAATGTGCTAATAAATAATGTGCTATATTAATTATTTTCTTGTTTATCTATGTTCAAACAAATATTTCCATGCATTTAAAGTCATTTATAAACCCAAAAAAACGTTTTGTATCAAATTTTTGTTCATATTTAACATTTTTAATTTTTTTGATTTTTGTCACCAAAATTTTGCAAAATAAATATGTTTTTTTCAAAGACTGACCACGGCGTTGTTAATTTATTATTAAAATACGTGTTTTAAAGATAAAACTAGAGTTTTAGCCCTTAAAAATAAAAAGTTTTAAAATTACGGCCATTTTAATGAAAAAGGCGATTTTTCGTGGAATTTGGCATGAACAATTTTTTTGAGAGCTGCACGTGAATTTTGACTCTTGTCAACCTTGCTAC